TTAAAAGACTGAAGTCCTGTATTGGAGAACACTTCAGAAAGCTGGCAGGAATGGAGGGGTGGGGGGAACCCACATGACCAGCACAGTTTGGGAGAACAAAAGGCAAGCACTGTTTCAACCCAGTTACTTAAATCCTCCCAGGCCTCTGCTCCTGGTTGGGAAGTCGCCATTCCTGAATGGGAGGTGCTGAATGTGGGGGTGGGTCAGGCAGGGTGATGGCTGTTGCCTCCTTTCTGCTCCAGAACCCTCTCCTGACATGGTAGCATCCTGGGGCTTCTCGTCCATGAGCAAGGAGTGGATGGACCATGGCAAGGGTCTGAGATTCCACACACAGACTATAAAATCATGGGTGAATGAAGAAGTGACAACAGGCAGGGCTGCCTGCCTTGCAGGGCTAGAGGATGCTGGAAGGGTGTCTAGAGTCCACCTGGGGGTAACCTTTGTGTGCATGGCCTCATGCTAGAAAAATCTGATTTGGGGTTTGTTGTTGGTGGGGATGCTCTCAAATGCTGAGGAGAAGGACTGTTGTTTTTTTCACTTTTGGTAGGCTGCAGATGGATATTTTTTATGAAATACCCTAAAACTTAATGCTGATGCTTAAACCTAATGCTTAATGCTTCGCACCTCATGCAAAGAGTTGACTCATTGGAAAAGACCCTGATGCTGGGAGGGATTGGGGGCAGGAGGAGAAGGGGACGACAGAGGATGAGATGGCTAGATGGCATCACCAACTCGATGGACATGAGTTTAAGTAAACTCCAGGAGTTGGTGATGGACAGGGAGGCCTGGCGTGCTGCGATTCATGGGGTCGCAAAGAGTCAGACACGACTGAGCGACTGAACTGAACTGAACTGAAAACTTAATGACTCAGAACATGAAATTAACCAAAGAAATACAAAATATAAGCCCCACTACTTTGGTAGTTTCAACAGATATAAAAGTACTCTGTCCTAGTGCCAGAAAAGTTTCTAAAGATTTATTTCCAATTTCCGTACTTACCCCATTGGAGACCACCAGGTGAAGGGCCACGATCTAAGCAGTTCTAGTCTAGGCTTGTGTATTCCAAAGTTGTTGCTGGAAAACAGTCATCCAAGGTGATCTCAGGGAAAATGGTTCCAATGGTCACAAAGGATGTGAAAATGCTGCCTGTCCTTCACTAGGCATGCTGGCGTATTAAAGGCTTTGAGAAATCTTGTTTCAAAAAATAAACTTTTTTATTGAGACCAGTTTTTCAACTGAACAACATCACACACTAAGAGATGTGGGTCTGGGGTCTGCCCTCATGGGAATCTGCCCAGCCCGAGACACTGAGGAGTCGGTCATAATGCTGGACCCCAAAATGACAAGTCCCCCAGCCTAAGCGAATCTTTGCTAGCCAGTCGACCATGCAGCAGTGGTGTCTGGACTTCTTTGCAGACAGTGGCAAGTGGTCCAAGGAATTGCTTCCAGTGACACTGAGGTGCCTCTTTAATTGTTTAACCTCCACAGATAAGAACTCCAGTTGCTGGCGCCACGACATGTTGGCAATTGCTTCACATGGTGGAACATGGTGGCCTTTAGTGAAGGTCTGTGTGTGGAATAAACTCAACCAAGTGTAAGGAGATGGTGAGTTATCCTGGGAACTCCAGGGTACCAGCTACAGTGACACGCTTTATGCTTCCCTGGGCTCACTCAAGCCAAGCCCAGAATAGACTTTTCTAATTAGTTGGCATCAGGCAAACATCCCATGGTGCAATCGTTGTCCTTACAGGAGGCTTTCAAACTTCGCTTGGAAGTACATTTGAATTCACTAGTTCACTTATATTTAGTGACCATATTCACTAAACTCCCAATTCCCCTCTAACAAAACAATTATCTACAGTCCAGTTTCCACACACAGAACCCCAAGAGCCTTCACACCGGGGTCAGTAGCATGAGTGGTCTGACTTTGCAAGGACTGGTGTCACTCTTGGTTTTAACAGTCACGGAGGCAGCCGATTAGTGTAAGTGGTCCAGAATATTGCTGTCTCTCAAAGACTTGGAATTTTCTGCTGCTGTATCAAGTCAAAAACACAACAAAGTCAAGGCCACATTCTCATCTCCAGCTCAATCTCCTTACTTTTTCTGACTTCCTAGCTCATTTTGTATCCCTGCGGATACAGACTACTTTACATTCTGCTCTCATATATATCCTCCTGAGTCCAGAAAAAAAGTGTTTCCAGGCCTGGGGTTTCCTGGTAATGACATTGACACGGCATTTAGACTCAGAAATTATGTAGCCAACTTGTTTGCACGTCACATCATCCCCCCTGCCCATCCAACACGAATCGCCAACCATCGCAGGGACCAAGAAACTTTCCACTGGATAGATGACAAGTCTCCTGGATAATCAGGAGGGGATAATTATGAGATCCCCAGACCACGTCACACGCCTCTGTGTGGTTGTAAAACATGCCAGCACATTCTTGGACTCACCTCCCAGAGGAAGGTGAGCCTGCTTCTCTGCCCCTGAACGAGGGCCAGCCGTGGGCACAGGCTTCTGACAGTCAGACTGCAGCAACGAGCCTCCAAGACGTCTCCAGCTGCCCCTGGACTGTGAGACGTCGGACATCAACATGGTGGTCGTGGGCCACTCCTGTTGGGGTGATTCGTTACTCAGCCAACAGGTAACGAACACGCCTCTTGAACGGGACACCTGGGGCTCTTCCCACCTCTCTGTTTCTCAGCACACACCACGGACCTCTCTGGGACTCCCCCAGCTAGTAAGGCTCTCCCCGCTGCTAACAGCAAAGCACACCCAGTCCCACAGGTTAGCCGCGAACTGCCCCCTCCTCCCCCACCCACGACTCATACTTTGCCCCACGCTGCTCACCTGATTCAGGTGCTGATTCAGACTTTCTATTTCTGATGCCTCTAGTTATGAAGCCCAGTTGCTCACCGTGAACCGTCCACGCCCTTGGTTTTCAAGCTCACTCGCCCCTGAACCTATCATGTGCCCAGTAGATGGACGGACCCCACATTCTGCCCTGCTCCCCGGCCTCCCCACTCGCAGGCAAGAAATGTACTCAGCCCAGCCTGTGGTCGGTGTCCACACGTTCCACAAGCTCACTCACTCAGTCATTCAAGTGTCTATGGAGCATCGACGGGGCTCCAGGAGCAGAACAAAGCTGATAATCTCTCCCTGTTCAGTGAGAGCAAGGAGAAAAATCATCTCTTCATTAACAGTGTGACGAGCCAGTACCAACCATGACTGTGCAGTTAGGGCAGAACAATTAGACGGGAAAGATCTATTTTTGCTGCTGTTGCAGGAGGTCTTGTTAGGCTGTGAATGGCCACAGCTGCCCATTTTCTTACATTTAAAACGGAGACAACAATAGCACTGTTGTAGGATTAAACGGGACACTATCTGTAAGATGCTTTGCCCAGTGCCTGATGCAGAGGAACAGCTCAGTACACACAGGTTATTACACATTAACTCAAGGTTAATACACCTGATACAAGTGCCCTCACGTTCCCTCTGCCCTTCCCACATCTTCCCTATCCCAGTTCAGGGCACATCATCTTCCAAGCTACTCAGCCAAAAAGAGACTCCAAATATCTGCAATGGTCCTCTCTCCTTTCCTTGGCTCATGGCCCACATCCAGTCCAGCAGCAAGGGTGTGGGTTCCATTTTTAAAATATATTTTAAACACATTCTCACTTCTCACCCCTCAGTGGTCCACCCTGCCCACGGTCTCGTCGCCTCCCCTCGGTTTACAGCTGAGATGTGCCAACTCCTCCGCCTGCTGCCACCTGCACACCCTGACCTGTTCCTTAACCAGCAGGTGGGAGAACAGTGTTTTAACAAAAGTCACATCAACCTATTTATTGCTCATAATCCTCCAGTGACTTCCCATCTTTCTAATGGCCTCATAATCTCAGGATCTGGCCCCAGACCTTCTCCCTCATAGATTTCTCGGCCCCTTACACACTCTTGGCTTCAGCTTCATGACCCTTCCTCTTCTTCCTCAAGCAAATGGGCCACTCCTGCCCCAGGACATTTGCACTAGCTACTCCTTCAGTCTGAAAGACTCTCCTCCAAATACCTAAAAGTCTTGCTCCCTCCTTCCAGTCTATTCTCAAAGGTCAACTTCTCCTCAGGGGAGGGGGGTCTTCACCGACCGTCCTAAATAAAACCACAGCCCCTTCCAGCCCACCCTCCGTGTTTTGTTTCCTCACTGGCTGCCTTGCTATGTGTCGACTTTATTGTCTCCCCCATTGGAATGTGAGCCCCATGAGGGTGTGGGCCATTGTTCACTGCTCTATGGCATAGTGAAAGTGTTAGTTACTCAGTTGTGTCTGACCCTTTGGGACCCCATGGACTGTAGCTCACCAGGCTCCTCTGTCTGTGACATTCTCCAGGCAAGAATTCTGGAGTGGGTTGCCATCCCTGTCTCCAGGGGATCTTCCTGACCCAGGTATCAAACCCAGGTCTCCCACACTGCAGGCAGATTCTTTACCATCTGAGCTGCCAAGGAAGCCCCTCACTGCTCTATCTCCAGTGCCCAACACACAGCAAATACTCAGTAATTGTTCAAGGGAGAGAAGGAGGGAAGGAAAAAAGGAAAGGGATGCACTACTTCTTTGCTTCAAACAACCCAGAAAAAAATCTAGGCTGATGGAGTGTGGAGCCTCACTGGCTTCTAGGCTAGAACGGAGAGCCCTCTGCACTTCCTTGGCAGGGAAGGGAATATTGTGGCCACTTGGGCACTTGTCCCTTCATCTGTCACTCAGCACAGGTACAGAGGAGTCACTGTGAGTTCGTTCGTCTGCTAATCTTAGGCATCATCTTCACTGTACAAGGGGGCAGAGGTGAACTCTCCGAGTAAAAAGGTTTGCCCAAGGTGAAGAGGAGAGCAGGGTTCAAGGTCAAGCCTCCCTTCTGGGATGCGAGTTCTTAAGGAGGCCCCTGTCTTTACTGAGGTCAGTGGCAGGACCCGAGTTAGTCACTCCCACGCTCTCCCGCGGCGGGGTGCACGTGGATGGCACACACTTCCTGGCTGGGTCAGCGGCCTGACAGATTAGACAGCGTGTTCACCTGGGGGTCACGGGACATGGGCTTTAGTCCAGGTTCTGCTATCAGCCAGGTCCAGGAGCTCCACTCACAGCTGCCACAACCCCATGAAAAGTCATCACTCACCTTCTCAGGAGACACCATCACCAAGGTCCCCACAGGCCCCAGAGTGTTTCAGACGAGAGCCTGGCAAGTAACCGATCGGAGGACACTTGGTGGTGACGCCCAAGCTTCATGTGCAAAAGCTTTTTCCTTTTTGATGTGCTTTGACTCATTCATTCAACAAATGCTTATTGAACATCCACTCAGGTAACAAAGGCACAGTTACAAAGGCCCTTACCTTCAGTGGGGGCCTCTTTCCTGGGTCTCTGTCTCCATTTTTTCATTATCCCTGCGTTCTAATCCTCATACTCCTCCCTGGAGAGAAGCCAGGGACCTCTTGGGCCAGAAAGGTGTTGGCTCCTGTGCCAAATGGTCAACACAGATGTCCTCTCGGGGGAGGTGACTGGCCTCGGAAGGCCCAGATGAAGTCTGCAGTAGACACCACACTCTGCAGCCCCCATCGCATAAGTGGGCTGGGTGACCTGCCTCAGCGTGGACTTCAAAACACGCTTTAGGAGGAAGCAGGGGTGGGGGCAAGCAGGAGGGCAGGGACTACAGATTTGCTGGAAACAAACATAGTAGGGCCTCTGGGTTCTGTTTGGATGGGGTGGTCAGTGTGGCCATCGACCGCTTGGCAGGAGGTGCAGGCCTGGCAGATGGCAGGGACACAGCCTTAATTACAGCTTCATTAGGGAGTTAGGTGGGTTATCACTTTCGGCCCAGTGCACTGTCTTCTCCCCCCGAGTCACACACACGGAAGTAAAGAGCCGCTGCCGAGCTGTCTGGCCTGTGTGCACATACGGTAGGAAGAGACACGGGGTGCTGAGGAGGTGTGTGTAGTGCGTGGTCCTGAGAGTTTCTCGAAGGGTGCTATGCTGCAGCTCTGCCACCCTGCGTGCAGAACGTTCGCTTGGTTAGTGAGGCCAGTGCATTGTGGCCTCTTGTCCTTGGGTGAAGCTGCCAGGTGACTGGAGTCTGGGTGGATAAGTTTTCCCTGCCCGCCCCCGCCAATGCGTTTCATCACAAAAGAACCTCTGGTTTTCTTTGCATGGGGCTTAATTGCTTGTACGCTTGAAATTAGGTTCTGGTTTTCCCTGCTTTCTCAGAGCTTATCTCAGACCTAACTCAGATTAAGGTGGTTTTTTTTTTTTAAGACACTATACAGATACCCTTTCTCAGGACTGATTAAATCCACACTCCATCTGGCATTACAAAAGCTGTTTCAAGCCTGGATTCCTTCTCTGAAGTTATTTGCCAACAACCCATCCATAAATTAATGTTATGGTATGTTTATTAGTTTCCAGGCCTTCGAATAGTATATCGATTCTGGGCAGAGGCTTAGCATCTGGTTTAGCTGAAGAATTTAATTTTCTACAAACCACAATCTAATCATATCATCTGGTACTCAAACAAACACAAATTCAGTGGCCTTTAAATGCTGATGACTGCACCAGGGCCGAGCCCCACTCAGTGTCCACGAGTCTGCCTTGACAATGAGGGTATTAACAACCACAACAACAAAAAGGTCAATACAGTGGATTATTTAAAAGGCTAACTACATTCAGTTTAACAGACTGTCCATTTTTCCTGAGTTTATGCTCTTCCTTTCTCATGTGTGTAACAACATTCTTTAACATATTTTTAACAAATATATTTGATAAAATAAAAATGGACAGGACTTGCCCAGCAGTCGAGTGGCTAAGACTCTGTGTTTCCACTGTAGGGCACACGGTTCGAGGAAATAAGATCCCACATGCCACAAGGAGCAACCAAAAACAGGACAATTCTATGTGCCTCAAATTTTGTAAATCATTTCACTCATCCATGAACTCCAAAAGATAGGCTATCCCAGGCTAATGAAACATCCAGTGACTTTTAAAAAGATGGGACAAGTCCAGGCTTAAGACCTCCCCACCCCTTTCTCAAACTGATAAACACCCACCACTGTTTCCGAGGGGCCAGTGGGGAAGAGAAGACAGCCTCCCAGGCTTTGAAACAGAAGCAAGTCCAACATCAACTTACTTGCAGGAAGAGACCGGCAGGGATGGGACTACCCTTGCTTCAAGGTCTCCATGTTTCTGAGATATCTGACTTCCCAAAAAAACAGTTACTGCCTTTTGAACTTTCACTGACTGGCATCACTTGACCTTTAGCTTCGATATGAAAACAAGCATGTGTCATTCTGTCCCGGGCCGCACCGTCCTTGGGGGGTCAGGATGTGGCCTCCACTCGTGCCCTGGGCTCGGGCTGACAGGCCTGTGACCCCGGCTGCCTTTCAGGGCTGCCCCAGGGGCCCCTCTGATCTCCTACCCTTCTGCCGCCCTGAGCTGAGAGAACAGCAGGACTGTTTGGGGGCGGGGGTGGTGGGAACAGAAGTCTGAAGGCCTCTTCACTGAGGACGGCATTTGCTGCCATTGTTGTTTAGTTGCTCAGTTGTGTCCGACTCTCTGCGACCCCATGGACCGTAGCCCACCAGGCTCCTCTGCCCAAGGGATTCTCCAGGCAAGAATACTGGAGTGGGTTGCCATTTCCTTTGAGCTCCTAACCCAAGCCCTGTTAGGCTCATTCATGGTTAAAACCTTTAAATGGTGCCCCAGACGGGACCTGTCCATCTCGGCTCGCTCTTAGCTTTCATCCCTACAAGCCTGGGACACCTCTCCTCTGCAGGGGTCCAAAGCCATCTTCACCTCCCTCTTATTTAAACATGGCTCCTTCTAACGTCCTAGGCACCTGCCCATCGGTTCTAAACCTTCTTTAGTGTCTGCCCTCAAGGCTTTGAAGCCTTTTTTTTTTTTTTTTTGCAGGTGATGAAAATGGTTTTTTTTTTTCCCATTTATTTTTATTAGTTGGAGGCTAATTACTTTACAATATTGTAGTGGTTTTTGCCATACATTGACATGAATCCTTGTGTACATAGAACTTCCCTGGCCCTCCCAAACCTACAGTAAGTGACCCCTGACCCCACCTGATGCATGACCTTCAACCCCACAACACCATCAGCTTCAAGGATGGCCTGATACAAAGGCAGAAGTTGGAAAGCCAACCAAGGTCTAGGTGAATGCTGTTTGTAGCTCTGTTCACTGAGCAAAAAGTCAGACCTCTTTGCATGTCAGCATGTGTCAGGCTATCTCTGTTATTCTTAAAGGGTGAACAGTATTAGTGTTCTTTTACATGGTTATACCCCAATGTAGGAAGCATCACTACAAACAAAGCTAGTGGAGGTGATAGTGGAGGTGATGGAATTCTAGCTGAGCTATTTCAAATCCTAAAAGATGATGCTGTGAAAGTGCTGTACTCAATATGCCAGCAAATTTGGAAAACTCAGCAGTGGCCACAGGACTGGAAAAGTTTAGTTTTCATTCTAATCCCAAAGGGCAATGCCAAAGAATGTTCAAACTACCACACAATTGCACTCATCTCATCCTAGCAAAGTAATGCTCAAAATTCTCCAAGCCAGGCTTCAACAGTACGTGAACCATGAACTTCTAGATGTTCAAGCTGTATTTAGAAAAGGCAGAGGATCCTGAGATCAAATTGCCAACATCCGGTGGATCATAGAAAAAGCAAGAGAGTTCTAGGAAAACATCTATTTCTGCTTTATTGACTATGCCAAAGCCTTTTACTGTGTAGATCACAAAAAACTGTGGAAAATTCTTCAACAGATGGGAATACCAGATCACCTTACCTGCCTCCTGAGAAATCTGTATGCAGGTCACGAAGCAACAGCTAGAACTGGGCATGGAACAACAGACTGGTTCCAAATCTGGAAAGGAGTACGTCAAGGCTGTATATTGTCACTCTGCTTATTTAACTTGTATGCAGAATATATCATCCAAAATGCCAGGCTGGAGGAAGCACAAGCTGGAATCAAGATTGCAGGGAGAAATATCAATAACCTCAGATATGCAGATGACATCACCCTTATGGCAGAAAGCGAAGAGGTATTAAAGAGCCTCTTGATGAAAGTGAAAGAGGAGAGTAAAAAAGTTGGCTTAAAACTCAACATTCAGAAAACTAAGCTCATGGCATCTGGTCCCATCACTTCATGGCAAATAGATGGGAAAACAATGGAAACAGTGACAAGACTTTATCTTTGGGGGACTCCAAAATCACTGCATATGGTGACTGAGGGCATGAAATTAAAAGACACTTGCTCCTTGGAAGAAAAGCTATGACAAACCTAGACAGCATATTAAAAAGCAGAGACATTACTTTGCCAACAAAGGTCCATCTAGTCAAAGCTATGGTTTTTTCCAGTAGTCATGTATGGATGTGAGAGTTGGACTACAAAGAAAGCTGAGCACCAAAGAACTGATGTTTTTGAACTGTGGTGTTGGAGAAGACTCCTGGGAGTCCCTTGGATTGCAAGGAGATCCAACCAGTCAATCCTAAAGGAAATCAGTCCTGAATATTCATTGGAAGGACTGATGCTGAAGCTGAAACTCCAATACTTTGGCTACCTGATGCGAAGAACTCACTCATTGGAAAAGACCCTGATGCTGAAAAAGACTGAAGGTGGGAGGAGAAGGGGATGACAGAGGATGAGATGGTTGGATGGCACCACTGACTCGATGGACATGAGTTTGGGTAAGCTCCGGGAGTTGGTGATAGACAGGGAAGCCTGGCGTGCTACAGTCCATGGGATCACAGATTCAGACATGACTGAGCAACTGAACTGAACTCAACCTCAATTTAACCGATCCTCTGCTATTGGAAATCCAGGCTATTTCCATTTTTTCTCTATTACTAACAGTGGTGAGAGAAACATCCTTTTACATCCATTTTTTTCTGCTTGTACTTCTGCTCATGCAGTGGTGTGGGACCCGGCAGATTGGGGAGACACTTTTCTTCCCACTGGCAGGGCATGGACATCCTTTCTGCCATCTAGCCTTGTCAGTCATTGCTTCCATTTAGCAAGAGAGTTCCAGAAGAACACCTACTTCTGCTTTATTGACTACGCCGAAGACTCTGACTGTGTGGATCACAAGAAATTCTTAAAGAGGTGTGAATACCGGACCACCTTATCTGCCTCTGAGAAATCTGTATGCAGGTCAAGAAGCAACAGTTAGAACTGGACATGCAACAACAGACTGGTTCCAAATTGGGAAAGGAGTATGTCAAGGTGACAAGTATTGTCACCTTGCTTATTTAACTCATATGCAGAGTGAAGTGAAAGTTGCTCAGTCGTGTCCGACTCTTTGCGATCC